TTGTAGGGCTGCTTCCGCAGGGTGTACTGGCTCACCAGGGGCAGCTTGGAGAAACCCTGAGGGGGGACGGGGCGTGAGGCGGAGGCAGGGGGAGCGGGCGGAGCAGGCGGCAAACAGGGGGACCCCGCTCTCACCGGCCAGATGTTTTCGTTGGGCGTCCCTAGGAGCTGCACGATGAGGTCGATCTGGTGGATCTCGGAGGTGCCCGGCAGCAGCGGCTTGTGGGGCTGCAGCTCGGCGAGGATGCAGCCCATGGCCCTGCGGAGCAGATGACGTGCAAGAGGCCGCGGGGGCAGGAGAAGCCCCTCCGTCGACACCACCACCCCCCGGCCCTCCCCTTACCACATGTCGATGCTGGTGGTCTGGGTCGTCATCCCCAGCAGCAGCTCGGGCGCTCGGTACCTGGGCAGGGGACAGCACCGTCTCAAGGGGACCGCGATGGAGCCGGCGCAAAGGAAGCCCCCGCCGCACTGCGAGGACTGGCCCGTGTCGCCCCGAGCGGCTCCGGGGCCCCGCGCCGGCCACTCACCAGAGCGTGACGACTTTGGGGGTCATCGGCTTCGGCGGCATCCCGTAGGTGCGTGCCAGTCCAAAATCGGCTGCAACAGGGGAGACTCGAGATGAGGAGACAAGCAAGCGCCTCGCTCCGACCGTGTCACGGAGCGGAGGGAGAGCTTCGGGCACATCCACGGCGGGAGCCGGGTTGGCAGCTGCCGGGGACTCACCTATCTTGACGCAGCCTTTGTCAGTCATGAGCAGGTTGGACACCTTCAGATCCCTGCCGGGGAACAGAGCGCGGCTGGTCAGCACCGTCCTTCAGGCACGGCTCCTCCCGTACCCGCGCTCCCCCGGGGCTCGCAGGCAGCTGCGGAGCCCCGGAGCGGAGCCATCACGAGGAAGAGCAGATCTCATCACCCGGTGGCGTCCCTGCCCCGCCAGCGCTCCCACACGGAGCCACCGATTCACCCACAGCTACTCCACACGGCGCTCCTCGCTCGCAGGACACGGGTGTGGGAGGCGAAGGGGGACGCCGCGGTCCGAGGGTGGAGCAGGCTCCCTCCCGTCAGCCCCTTCTCCCCACGTCCCCTTTCCCACCGCGTCCGTCCTGCTGCTCCCACCTGTGGATGACGTAGTTCTCGTGAAGGTACTGCAGGCCCTTCAGGACTTGCAGGATGATGGAGCAGAGCGCGGCTGGTCAGCACCGTCCTTCAGGCACGGCTCCTCCCGTACCCGCGCTCCCCCGGGGCTCGCAGGCAGCTGCGGAGCCCCGGAGCGGAGCCATCAAGAGCAAGAGCAGATCTCATCACCCGGTGGCGTCCCTGCCCCGCCACCACACGGAGCGGAGGGAGAGCTTCGGGCACATCCACGGCGGGAGCCGGGTTGGCAGCTCCCGGGCTCACCTATATCTTGACGCAGCCTTTGTCAGTCATGAGCAGGTTGGACACCTTCAGATCCCTGCCGGGGAACAGAGCGCGGCTGGTCAGCACCGTCCTTCAGGCACGGCTCCTCCCGTACCCGCGCTCCCCCGGGGCTCGCAGGCAGCTGCGGAGCCCCGGAGCGGAGCCATCACGAGGAAGAGCAGATCTCATCACCCGGTGGCGTCCCTGCCCCGCCAGCGCTCCCACACGGAGCCACCGATTCACCCACAGCTACTCCACACGGCGCTCCTCGCTCTTTTTTTTCCCTCGCAGGACTCGGGGGTGGGAGGGGAAGGGGGACGCCGCGGTCCGAGGGCGGAGCAGGCTCCCTCCCGTCAGCCCCTTCTCCCCACGTCCCCTTTCCCACCGCGTCCGTCCTGCTGCTCCCACCTGTGGATGACGTAGTTCTCGTGAAGGTACTGCAGGCCCTTCAGGACTTGCAGGATGATGCACTTCACCTGGAGACAGAGGACAGGAGCACCGGCCTCTGCAAGAGCAGCACCAGCCGGGCAAACCCCCGGGGGGGGGGGTTAGACCCACTTGGGTGCCCTGCGGTCTGCCCCGTCTGTCACCGCTCTGCAGCGCGTCAGTCCCCGTGTCCTCCCAGAAGCAGCTCACGGGCTGTCTGGGGCACGTTTTCGCCCAGTTCTGTTTCCCTGCCAGTTTGCTCCAGCCCAAAAACCCGCCTGGAAAGTCCCTGGGGTGTTCTGTGAGAGCCAGCTAAGCCCATGCTCCCCACGCGGCCCAGGAATCCCGGCTCACCCGGTGCTCCCCGGCCCTGCTGAAGCCCAGCGCAAGGTCCAGGGATCACAAAGCCCGGGGAGTCCCCGCCCGGGGGGCGCCACCACCTCGGCGGGACCGCCGCCCCCCCTGGTGGCGGCCCCAACCTAAAGCTTAGCCGGGTTTTGACCTGAGCCTTTGAAAAAGGCGTCTGCATGTTCTCGAGAAGGGTGGCACCGGCCTCTGCAAGAGCAGCACCAGCCGGGCAAACCCCCGGGGGGGGGGGTTAGACCCACTTGGGTGCCCTGCGGTCTGCCCCGTCTGTCACCGCTCTGCAGCGCGTCAGTCCCCGTGTCCTCCCAGAAGCAGCTCACGGGCTGTCTGGGGCACGTTTTCGCCCAGTTCTGTTTCCCTGCCAGTTTGCTCCAGCCCAAAAACCCGCCTGGAAAGTCCCTGGGGCGTTCTGTGAGAGCCAGCTAAGCCCATGCTCCCCACGCGGCCCAGGAATCCCGGCTCACCCGGTGCTCCCCGGCCCTGCTGAAGCCCAGCGCAAGGTCCAGGGATCACAAAGCCCGGGGAGTCCGCGCTGGTGGCCAGCGCGTTTTGGCTGGAGCGGCAGCACCCTCTGAGGGGTGCCGCACCTAAAGCTTAGCCTGGCTTTTACCTGAGCCTCTGAAAAAGGCGTCTGCATGTTCTCGAGAAGGCTGGCTAGGTCCTGCTCGCAGTAGCCCATCACCAGGAAAATACTGTCGTAGGCAAGACAGAGTCAGGAGCCTCCCCGGGACACCTCTCCGGTGTCCCAGCGCAGGTCCGTCCCGCGAGAGGCGGCTCAGGGGACCGAGAAGGGTCTGAAAGGACCGAAAAGGGCAGGAGACGACGGGAGGACAGAGCGGGGACTCTCACCTCTCCAGATGGTTCCCTACAACCACCTCCTTCAGCTCCACGATGTTGGGGTGCCGAAGCTGCAGGAGCAGGGTGATCTCCCGCAGGCTGCTGATGGGCATTCCTGCGGAGAGCGACAGCCGGGCT